GTTGCAGGGATGCAGGCATGGGAAGGCTTGACTGGGGCTGGAGGCTCTGCTTCCAAGCTGGTCTCTCTTGTGGCTGCTGGCTATGGTCTCAGTTCCTCTCCAGGTGGGCCTCTTTGTAGGGCTGCCTGAGTGCCTCCATGACAGGGCAGCTGACTTCCTCCAGAGTGAGAGAAAGATGGAGGTATTTTAAGACCTAATTTTGAAATTGGTGAACCTTCACTTCTGCTGAATTCTACTGGCCACACAGACCAGTAATGGTATGACCGGAGGTGGAAGGGGGGAATGACAATTCCAGGCACCAGGAGGTGAAGACACAGGGGCTGTCTTGAAGCCCGTCTGCCACAGTCCCCAGTGCGGACAGGATTCTCTCCAGCTTGGATGCTGGTACCACCCCCGACCAGCCACCTTCCCAGCCATCCCAGGGGCTCTTCAAACTCAGCATGTCCAGTGTGAGCTCAGCCCTATCAGCCTTGAAACATCATATTATGCCATTTTCTGTTTGTTTGTTTTTGAGGCAGAGTCTTGCTCTGTCATCTGTGTTGGAGTGCAGTGGCGTGATCTTGGCTCACTACAACCTCTGCCTCTTGGGTTCATGCAATTCTCCTGCCTCAGCCTCCCGAGTAGCTAGGATTACAGGTGTGTGGCACTACACTCGGCTAATTTTTTGTAGTGTTTTAGTAGAGACGGTGTTTCACCATGTTGGCCAGGCTGGTCTCGAACTCTGGTCCTCAAGTGATCTACCTGCCTTGGCCTCCCAAAGTGCTGAGATTACAGGCGTGAGCCACCACACGCAGCCTTGTGCCATTTTTAACATAGGAAAAGGTGTAAGGAATAGCAGAGTGGGCTGCAGGTAGTGGTGCAATGAAAGACACCCTCGCCAAGCTGAAGGCTCCTGTACTGTAACTTCTCTGATACCACAGTCTCCCAAGGCCACCTTCTTCTTCCTCACCTTATCACAAACTGACCCCCTATTTATGCTGTTGGACGAACCCGAAACCTGGGAGGTGGCTTTCTCATCTCCCGTGTGGGTGGGACTGGTCACCGAGGCCTGGTGTTCGCAGTCACACGATGGGATCACCTGTGCTGCCTCCCCAATAAGGTTCCTGCCTTGGTTTTTCCCCTCTACTCGGCCCACACCGGCACCAGAGCATGCTTCTTAACACCCAAATCTGCATCGTCCGCTGCTTAAAATTCCTCAAACGGCTTTTTAAAGTCCTTGGCATGGTGTTCAAGGTACTTCCCGATCTGGTTCCTTACATGTCTGGCCTCATCTCCTGGTACCCCCAGTCCCAAACTTCCTCTATTATTTGTATTCCCTAGATGACATGTCCCCTACCTCTTCCGTCCAAGGCTCTGCACCTGCCCTCCTCTCTCCTCCCTTCCCCTCCCCTCTCCTCTGTGATTCACTCCAGGGTCAGTCACCCACCCTAGGAAGCCAGAACCCCCTCCCCTGGGTGCAGTACCTCTGCTTAGGTTCCCAGAACCCCACCACCCATGTCTCTCTATCGGCGCCTCACTCGTTCGTGCACTCACTCAGGGATGTTTACTTAGCACCTGGGCTGTTCCAGGCACCGTTCTCAAGGCCTCTGCTGCGGCGCTGAGAAAAATCAGGCCCCGACCTTCTAGAGCTTGCCATCTCGTAGGAGGCCGTACCCCCCTCTCCTGAGGAACAGGTTTACCTGCTCAGGTAACAGGGGCACCTGGTGTTCCCATGCAGGAGGGACTCATGGATGTTCAGCACATGAATGGTGCTCTCTGAAAGGGCCAGAACCTGGAAACTAGATGAGTTGCTTGAAACCCAAGTGGCCTAGCAAGCCAGCCATAGCTGGGCTGAGGATGTGCTTCTATTGTATTTTGGGGAATGTGCCTGGTTTGGTGCCTGGAGTACTCTCTACCACTGGGCTCAGACTCATGGTTCGGGTTCCAGGCCCCTATCCCAAGGAACCCGGGTCAGGCAGTCTCCAGCCTCTCCTCCAGAAACTGTTCTCCCGACCTTGGGGAAAATTGCTTCCCAAATTACAGCCCTCCACTATGCAAGCTTTAAACACAGCACCGAGGACACATAAATTACAGAAGGCCCTTCCCTTTCCCGTTGGATACGTTGAATAATGTAACATTTCAACAATACCAAAAGGTACACTGTATTATTAAAACACACTGGTATTAAAAAAGAAGTGCTGCTACAGTAAAATTGTCACCGACTCCCACCAGATGCCAGAAGAATGAAACCCAAATTATGTTCGCCGGAGACAGGATTCAGAAGGCATGAGGGGAGCCAGGAACGGCTGGTTTCACAAGAGTGGTTTAAAAACGGGTGGAGGAGGTTCATTTATTCCGAGCACTGAATATTCCCTATAACCGTTTCTGCTAAAATGAGGTGCTCCATCCATGTTGGTTTCGTCTTGGTTAAAAAAAGAGCAAGTTTTGCTGTCTTAGTTCAAGGCCCATTTTAAACTCTGATTGAGGTTTGGAGCTTGTGTTTGCAGGGTGCAGAGGCTGAGGAGGAATTGGGGTGATGAGAAACGGAAGAGAAGAGCCAGCAGCCCTGAAAGGTATCACGAGAGGGATTAACCAAAAAAGATGGTAGAAGTGGGGCCACTGGCACCCAGGGAGAAGCTAGCTTAAGAAAAGGTGGAACAAGAGCAGTGCCTTACGGACCTGCACCCTGGGCAGGCTCCAGAGGGCTGCATGCCCGAGGAAGTGCTGCAGGTGGCAGGGTGTGCAGCTCCAGTGCATTTGGAGAATTCCATTCCTTTAAAAAATGAATGTTGGACCAGGTACAGTGCCTCACACCTGTAATCCCAGCACTCTGGGGGCTACAGTGGGCGGATGGCTTGAGCTCAGGAGCTCGAGACCAGCTTGGGCAACGTGATGAAACCCCATCTCACAAAAAATACAAAAATTAGGCATGGTGGTGCACACCTCTAGTCCCAGCTACTTGGGGGACTGAGGCAGGAGGATTGCTTGAGCCTGGGTGGTGGAGGCTGCAGTGAGCCGTGTTTGCATCACTGCACTCCAGCCTGGGTGGCAGAGTGAGACCCTGACTCAAAAAATAAAGAATGTTGAATCCTTAGCACTACTCTGATTCTTTTTCCTAACTTTCTTCCAGGCAGGACTAGAAGGCTAAAACATTCCCCTTTCTGCAATAAAATGAACCAGCATAGGTGCAGTTTGGGGAGAAAAGCCCAATTCTAAAATGTGCAAGTTCAGTCCTCTGAGATTTTGCAGATGCCATTTTCTGAGTCCCTCCAGGAAGCCAAATAAGAATGTCGGCACCTTTCTGGTGATGTCGATATCCTCATTAACAAAAAAAGATGAGCAAAATGCAATAAAAACCCAGACTTGATTTTGGATGAGATGATGTTAGGGCCCTTCCTTTGGAGCTCCTGGTTTCAGAGTCCCCTATGCTATGTCCCTAAATGGCTCCTTCACAAGCCCATGTCTGATCACCACAAGGGGGCCTGTGGTTCTGGTGGCCTTCAGAGGTCACTGGACTCCTTGGAGTATTCCGAGAAAGTGCAGCTGTGATTTAGTGCAAAGCCCTTTGTGTCTTCTTTCTGTGTGTCTTGTGCAGGGGGCAAGGAAGGTGACATCCCAGGCACTTTGGGCAGGGATGGGTTTGCTGCCGCACCTTGTTGAATGCCTAGCACCTGGGCCTGCATCTGGCGCACAGTGGGCGCTTCCTGTGAGTTGATGGGAAAGGCTCAGGGATAGTCAGCATGTCCAGGTCACACAGTGATGGGCTGGGGGAGAACCCAGGGCTATGGGTCCTGCTCCAAGCTTTTCCCTTGCCATCACCTGAAATGTTCTAAGGCACGCCAGGCTGTTGCAGAGAATGGAGTGTAGGATGCCCCGAGCAGAGAAACAGCCTCAGAATTCAAGTCTTGCACGGGCGGGGCCGCATTTGCCCAGAGAGGGGCCATCATCTCATTCCCCCATGTGCTTTTTGTCGGCTGGCCCGGGGAGAGGGGAGTGAGACTGGGAAGCTCCACCTCAACTCACGGGCCACTTCTGCCTCTCTGTGGTGCCTCATCTTGAATACCATAAATGAAGCCACGTCCTCAGATGACCCTTAATTTATAAAGGACTAGAGATGTCCCCAGACTGTCCTTGCATCCTGAAGTCTAAGTGTGCCCTTCTATTTGGAGATCTGGGAAAAAGCAATCCAGGATGTATGCTTGGCTGTGGGTGTCCTCTCTTCATGGAGGCTGAGTGTTAGGGTCTCAGGATGCCTGGGCTCTTAGGTGGGCTCCGTCTGTTTGCTTTGCCATGCAGAATGAGAAGGTCATTCCACCTCACCCCCACCTCTGGGAGCCTGGGACCATCCCATGGTCAGATGCAAAGCAGTGACAACTTCCTCTTGATCTCACTTGGCGTTCAGGTCACCTAGGAATTTGCATCAGAAGCATTCCCCAGCCCACACCACTCACCCAGATTGCCTGCCTTCTTTGCAGCATTCATTTCACCAGAACTGCTGAGCACCTGGAGTGTGCTGGCACTGTCCGGGCGCTGGGGCATGATGGCGAGCAAACACTGACAGGGCTGAGGACGACGATGAGGATGGTGATTCGGCCAGGCTCTCCCCTCCCCCATCTCAGCACATTCTTTTCTAGCTGTGCTTGTCCCTTGCTTCTGGCCCCCACGGCCTCAGCAGCATCTTGGTCAACACAAGCCCACACTTCTGACCAAAGGCAACTCGTGAGTCCAAGGTCATCATGGCTAGCCGGGGCAGGTCATCTGACTCCTGCCTTCTCTGCCCTTCCAGGGCCTGCCGTCCTAGCCTCCTCTCGCCTGGCCAGCACGTCTCTTTTGGGCTATCTGCCTGTGGCTTCTGCTCTAGCTACCTCATGTGCCTCATCCACACCTCTGCCACAGCCCTCCCCAACCCTCCCCTGTCCAGGCCGGGTGAACGCACCTGGTCCCCAGGGGCCTTCCTCCCTTCTCTTCCCTTCCTCGGTCTCTCTCACACCTTCCCCTACCTCCGTCTCCCTTTGTGTGTCTGTAGTTTGGGAGGCCGAGGCGGGTGGATCACCTGAGGTCAGGAATTCGAGACCAGCCTAGCCAACATGGGAAACCCCATCTCTACCAAAAAATAAAAAAATTAGCCAGGCGTGGTGGTGGATGCCTATAATCCCAGCTACTTGGGAGGCTGAGACGGGGAATTGCTTGAACCCAGAAGGCGGAGGTTGCAATGAGCCCAGATCACGCCATTGCACTCTAGCCTGGGCAGCAGAGTGAGACTGTCTCAAAAAAAAAATGACACTTTATAGAAGTCTAGATGTTTATTTTTCCGTCTTCTCTTTCCAGTGACGAGAATCTGAGAGGAGTCCTTTGGGAGGCAGAGCACCAGGGGCTGCCTGAGCCTTGTTCAGACTTGGGAGCAGTGCCGGCTGGCTCCACAGCAGGCTGGAGCTGCCAGTCTGAGAACAGGGAACAGGAAACTGGCCAGCTGCAGATGGGGGTGCGGGGGTCTTAAAATCCTTCTCTGGGACTGAGGCCTTCCTCCAAGCCCCAGAGACAGCCCACACCCCAGGTAGTACCCTCCTCACACTTCCCAGTTCTTCCAGGGGTCCTGCTACCCATGGCCAGCCTTCTGGGGGTGCTTAAGCCTCTCCCTGGACTCCTATATTATTTGGTGTCCCTGTCATTATAGCAAGAGGATCAGGTCCTGAAGAAGCAAAGCAGGTGGTGGGTAGGGTTGGGGATGGCCTGTCTGTGCTCATGTGCATATGTGAGAATGTGTGCACATGTGAAAGTGTGTGTAGGGGACAGGATGGGGTCTCGGAATTCCCCACCTGACCTCCCAGGAGAGGGAGAGGTAAGAGGGAGTTGAGGAGGCCGCAGAGACCTTTCCCTGTGCAGGTCAACAGTGGAGCGTCCCTGTGGCTCTGCTGCGCTCTGAGTGCTGCGCTCAGCGTGCTGCGCTCAGCTCCTGGTGAGGGGCAACAAACACGGCTTAGAGAGTGAGGAGGAATGAGCTGCTCAATCCTGAGACAGGCTGGACCCTTTTGTCCCAGCAAGTGGGGGAATGGCAGGTTGTGGCCTGGACAAGGCCTCCCCCTCCCTGGTCCCTGCCCCGCCCCTGCCCCTGGGCTGCGTGCCCTGAGAAGCCACCTGCAGCTCCCCACTGCAGCACCGGACTCTGCTCCCACCCCTGCCGGGCTGGGGGCCTCAAGAGACTTCTAGGGGACTTGGTCACTGGACCTTTTGCCTCCCACCACGATTCTGCTCCTTCTGGCAGCTGCGAGCTTAAGGGCGAGCCCTGAGGTCCCCTAAACCCCGAGGCACCAATGGGTGGGGGCTGGGGCACAGGGGTGCATGTGGAGGGAGCCATAGGCCAGTGTTCTGTGGGTGATGGATGGTGTTTCCCACTGCGGAGTGGGAAAAACATGCCATTACAATTGGGGACAAGCTGTTAAGTTATCTCCCACTCAGCTCAGGTCGAGGAAAACCAAACCAGTCTGGGCCTGTCGGTGGGGCTGGGACACAGCGCCTTTGTGGAGCCAGTGGTGCTGGAGGGGTGCAGGTCGTACAGGCCTCCTCTCTGGCCCCAGGACTGGGCCTGTGGGGGGTTGGGGAGGGTTGCAGCAGAGCTCCTGGGGACGCGCCAACCACAACGCCAAAGAGGCTCCAGCCCAGGCAGAGGCAGCTACACTGGGGTGGTGCCCGCCCCCCTGACTCCAGGCCTGTGGATCGCTCCAGTCTCCGTCCTCTAAGCAAGAGGCTGCAGGTGGGGCTGGGCATGGCCAGTTAAAATGAAATAACTTCTCCCACAATCTTGGCTTGCAAGGTGCAGTGGAGAGGTGTGTGGGTGCCGGGACACCCCCCTTTAGCTCAGCCTCTGGAGGGAAGTGAAGGCATTTGCCCCTGGAGAAGGTGGCCTGCGTTTCAGGCATGACACTTAAAGATCTCTGTGCTGGGGAGGGGAGTGGTGGGGTTGGGGCTTCTCTTGTGTTCCTTCCTGATGTCTTCCCCCCATCTTTGCTCCCTCTAATTCCTCCCCATCTCCTTCAAGGATTTAGGCTCCCTGGCCCTGGACCAGCTGCCAGGCTGGGTGGCATCGGTGTCCATGTGGCCCTGGGGAATGACTCAGGATCCCCAGGGATGGCATCTGTTTCCATTCCTTCTTGTGGGGTCACCCCTGCCAGGGCTGATCTGGGGAGGGCAGCTCCGTCTACCTAGAAGTCTACCTAGAAGGCAAGAGCACTGACAAGCCAGGAAAGGTGATGCCTGGCAAACAGCCCTCCCTCCCCAGGCACTCCTCCCACCCAGGTCCTGGGCCGCCTCTGCTTTGGGAGTGTGGGATAGAGGAGGGGCAGGAGTCTCCCTGGACCACCTGCCTCTATGCTGGCTCTGGGAGCCCTGTCTGGGGAGGAGGCCACATTGAGAGTTAAAGCAGATGCTTCGGCATCACCTCCAGGGCCAGAAGGGCATCCTGTTTTCTCCCTGGAGCCCCATGGGGACCAGGGGAGACTGGAAGGCTTTCGGAAGCTTCTGCTCCTCCAGTCGTTGGAGCAGCTGGAAGCCGGGGCTATGTGAGGGTGTGGACGCCAGGCTCGGAGGGGGCTAGGCTGCAGAGCTTTCGTCCGCTCCAGACTTCCTTGCCCAGGGCCTGGCACAGTGTGAGTCCCAGCCCTTGCCTTGTGCTCCTGCTGAGAGTCAAGCACTGAGGTCACAGAGAAGCCTGCTGCCTGCTTTCCCTCCCCACCAGTCAGCACCCCTTCGTGTGACCCCTTCCCACCCAACCTGGGCTGCCTGCTACCTCCACCTGAGTCTACTGCCCAGGTCCCCTGCACCCAGGCCTTCTTCCAACCACCTCCATGGCTGCATTTCATCCATGGAGTCGTTCATATTACTTACACTTTTGCCACTGCACAGTGGCTCCCACGTCCAGCAGTGGGCAGCGGGCTTGGCACCGATGGTTGCTGAAAAGGCAGTTGTCCCCAGGTATTTCTCTGTGGTGGGGGCAATTCAGGGACACACAGCCCAGCCACTCCCTGGCCACCCCATCTCATGACTCTACCTCAGCAACTGTCTCTTGGGCTGATCAGAGTGGATCTCCTCCACCGTTTCTGTGTCCTGTCTGGCCGATGGCACACACACAGTTTGGGCTGGAGTAAATTAAGCAAGCAGAAGACTTCCCAGACTCGAGTGCCTCCTGCCCCCTGCCAGCCCCCACCAACTACACAAACGGAATCCTCTGGCCCCCTCTGTTTCCTGGGAATTCCTGCTCTCCATTGTGATGGTGGGATGCAATTCTAAATAAACTCAGAAGTATTAATGGGGGAGTAACTTTTGTGGGCTCATTCGTTCATTCATTTACTTATTCACAAAAATATGGAGTGAACCCCAGCTATGTGCCAGGCACATCTTGGGCATGGGAGATTCGGCACTAAATCCAGCAGATGTGAGTGCCTGCCCTCATGGAGACTGCATTCCACTGGAGGCGAGGCGGGACGGGATCCCAGCACATCCACCCGAAATCAAATGTGCTGAGTCCCCAGGAGGAGATTCATGGGGAAAAGGAGAAGGGAATGCCACAGGGATGGTGGTTATTTTGATGGGGTGTTCTATTCCTGGATGGCCTTGGAAAGGTGCTTTATGTACACAGCACTGAGGCAGGGAGGGAGGGAAGGCGTGAAACCTGCAATTGTGCAGGAAAGAGCATTCCGTGCAGTGGACGTGCAAAGTCGTGGTTCAGGGGTGGGGTGGGGTGGGGTAGGCATGTGCCTACATGGAGGGATGGCCAGGAAGCCAGTGGGGCTGCAGGGAAGAGAGGGAGTTAGCCAGGAGAGAGGGCCAGACTGTCAAGAGCCCTGCAGGCAAAGGAAGGTTGACCAGGAAGCTATCTATAAACACATGGGCCCCATGTCAGAACTTGCATCTTATTTTCTTTCTTTCTTTTCTTCCCCCTGCTCCCCCTGAGATGGAGTCTTGCTCTGTGTCCCAGGCTGGAGTGCAGTGGCACAATCTCAGTTCACTGTAACCTCTGCCTCCTGGGTTCAAGAGATTCTCCTGCCTCAGCTTCCCAAGTAGCTGGGATTACAGGTGCCTGCCACCATACCCAGGTAACTTTCGTATTTTTAGTAGAGACGAGGTTTCACCATGTTGGCCAGGCTGGTCTTGAACTCCTGACCTTGTGATCCATCTGCCTCGGCCTCCCAAAGTGCTGGGATTACAGGCGTGAGCCACCGCGCCCAGTCACATCTTATTTTCTTAGGAAGTCCACCAAATCATATAAGCCAGATTCACCTGGCTTGCAGGCCACTGAAGCAACTTTAAGCATTTCTTCCAAATGACACAGGACACCAGGGGAAGGTTGTGTCGCCAGATCAGGATAGTGACATTATCTGATGAATATTTTTAAGAGAGAGGGACATAGTAGCTGGGGGAGGGGAGACAGTGGTGGGTCCTGGAATCTCGGCTGGATGGGGAGGAAGCAAGAGCAGGCAGTGGTGGGAGAGGCAATGGGGCGGGGCCAGCATGGTGGAGAGGAAGAGTGGCTGGGGTTAGGGGACCAGTGGCAGTGGGCTAGGAGAGGGGCAGACCGGGGATGACTGTGCCGTGGCTGGTTGGCAATAGGGTCCTAATGATGTGTTTTCTACAAGGTTCCTTTTACTCCCCTGGGACATACAAAGCAAGGTGCCCTTTGGAGGGCACCGATCCCTGGTGGTAAACAGTTGGCTTTGAAGCTGCACCCTCCCTTGTTTATTAACACCAAATGTTTGTTTTAGATCAAAAGGAAGATGTTTCCTTCAAAGGCAACTTTTTTTACTTGCTTCTTTTCCTTCTGCAGGTTGAAATTCTGTCTGTGAGAACCTAACCTTCTTCCTGTGATACCTGCTCTTCCCTGGCAACCCTCCTTGCCAAGGACCATCCAGAAATAGCCCCTCTGGGGCCTCCCTGTACAGCAAAGCAGACGTCTCCTCCCACTACCAGGTAGGGCGGCCCCACGTGTCCACCGTGCCCATCCCCAGAGTTTGCATCTGTGGAGGAAACACGGTCTGATGCCGAGATTTTATTTTACAGAAAGGGTTGTGGCTGGGGGCATTCTGTGCTGGTCTCCAGTTTTCAGGTCATGGTGTCTGTGGGGTAGGACGGGGAGTGTTGATGGTAGTCCAGGAAGGTATGGGGTAGAGTTTTGAAGGAGTGACCATTCTTACCCTGAAGCCCATCAGCCTGGCTGCGGGGCAGTCAGTCCTGAAGGAGGGTGGGCGGGGCGTGGGGGTCCGCTGTCTGCTGTTAGCAAAGCTGTCATAGAGGCCAAGGTCGGACCTGACCCTCCCACACAGGGTTCTTACCCTGCTGTCCAGATTGCCCTACAGCCCAGGGCGGGCCCTGAAGCCTTTGCGTGGCTCTAGAAGGGACGGCATAATGGCTCCGTTCCCACCCCCAGAGGGTGACTGCAGTTCAGCTCTAACACTCACCGCCGGAGTCAGCATCAGGCTCCACAGGGTTTGAGCAAAGCGCTCTGTAAGACGGCTCTCACTTTGAATGCAAGCTGCCGGGGCCACCTGCACTTGTGACCAATGGCAAATTTGGAGGTTCCCAGGATCCCTCAGTTTCGATAATTTGCTGCAGTGATTCACAGAATTTTACATAAAGCAGTACAGTAAAAACGACAGTTTTGTGATAAAGGATACACACAGGGTGAGGCCGGGCAGCGTGCTGGGCAGGAAGCACCTACCCTTGTTCCTGTGGAGTTAGGATGCGCCACCCTGCGCTTTGCCCCCAACGTCACCAACCAAAACTCCCTGGGTCACGTGACTGAGCTGTCTCCAGCCCCTCTCTGCTCCCTGAGGTGGGGAGTGAAATTTCCAACGCTCTAATCACCTGCACGGCAGGCCTCACACCTGAAGCTTCCTAAGGTTCACTGTGAGCTGCCAGGTCAGCACAATGTCAGGTGTGGTCAGAGGTGGCTTGTTATGAGTAACAAAAGATGCTCCTATCCCCTGGAAACTCCAGAGGTTTGAGAGATCACCTCCCAGGAACCAGGGACAGACATCAGGTGAATTCCTTCCTAAACTGCCGTGGGGTTCTGGGGTTCCGTGGGGTTCTGTGGGGTTTCATGCAGCCCATTCCCTGCTGATAGCCAGCACAGAGCTGGGGGTCAGCCACCCTGAACAGGGAGGACTGGAGCCTGTTGCAGGCAGGCAGGCTTGTGGGATGACCCTTTCTGTGCTGAGCAGATGATGCTGATGAGAACCCTGGGCAAAGAGACCAGAGGCTGGGACACAGGCTGGTCCCTTCAATACCCATTGAAGATGCCCTTTCCAGAGCCCTCAGGATTGGAAATCTCCACCCATGGGCTGTTGCATCTCCAGACATGCACTGCTTCTTTCTCTCTGGTGAGGACCATGGGTGCTCTTCTCTGCCCAGGGCTTCTGGGCATAGCTCATTGATCCAGACTGTCCTGCATTATTCATTTCAGTCTCGAGCCCTGATCTGCTGAGCCCTTTGTTGGGTGCTGGAGACACAGCAGAGACAAGGTCAAGTCTCGGCGCTCATGGTGCTTATATTTTAGCAGGGACACAGAGAATAAATGTATGCCAGGTGCTGATGAGGCTGTGAAGATAAGTGCAATGCACTAAGACCACAGGGAATGGTGGGGGCTGTGGCTTGCTCAGGGCAGAAGGGCAGGCCTCAGGTGCTGATGCTGTGCTCTGAGACGGAAGGAAGGGAGGTAGGACCCGGGAGTTCTGAGGGGAGTGCATTCCAGGCAGAGGGAGCGGTCAGTGCCAACGTGCGGAGACAGCGAGGGGAGGGTGTGCTGGAGAAGTAGCCAGAGGGCTGGCATCCCAGGGCCCGGGGGCTGTGCAGGTGGAGGAGGGAGATGATGTGGAGGATCCTCAGCTGGGTGCAAAGACCTTTAGGTTGGAGATGAGGATTTTGGATTTTGTCTTAAGGGTTGTGGGAGCCACTGCAGGGCTCTGAGTGAGGGATTGAATGGCCTGATTTGAGTCCTATGAAGATGTTCCGCCTTCTGTGAGGGGATGAGCGGAAGCTGGGGACGACCGAGAGACCCACTGTCCCACTCTGTCCCCGGGAGCACTGGCTCTGCCATGGACCCAGGAGGAGAGGAGCAGTGGATCTGTGCCCACGTCTGAGATAAGCCCGTCAACAACTCCCTTCCACTGCTGAAACAGCTGTCACCCCATTCCCTAAACCATCAGGGACCCCTCAGGGAACCCAGAAGAGAAGGCCACGTACCCCAGCCTGTACCAGGACAGAGACACAGCAGTGTGACTGTTTAGAGGGCAGGAATCCCACCAAGCTTTCTGGCTCCTTCCACCCTCGGGTCATCAGCCATGAAAGCACAAGACCGGCCCACCCTGAGGGAGTGTCTGGGAAGTCCAGGGCTTGCTGGGGTCACCCCACAAGCTCTTCTGGGCCTGAGCTGCTTCTCCTGGTGCATTCACTGTCTAGCCCCTTGTTGATTCAGGAGGTGCGCTCTGAATTGCAAAGTGAGGAATCTGCATTTGAGAGTCTTCCCTTTCTAGAAGGGTGAGGTCAAGGGGAGAGGGGGAAGCCCCTCTGAGCAAAGAGCAATGCAGTCTGAGGCCTGCGTGTGGCTTTGAGGCTCTGTCTGCCTTTTAGTCACCTTCAGGAGGGTAGGTGGTAGCTGTCCGAAGGAAGAGGGCCAGGTACACGAATCTGAGGTCTGGCGTGCCTGGCTCTGCACCTCTGCAGACACCCTCCTGCCCCACGTGGTGCTGGGTTCTTTTCCCTGTGGCCTGGACATGGGCTTCAGAGAAGGGGCTGCCAAAACCACTCCCCGGCCACCAGAGCTCTGGCACATGGATGCCTTCCGTGGCTCAGAGGAATATCACTAGAGGAAGGGGCTTCCTGAGAGAGGCTTGGACATCCATGATGGAGAAACCTGGGCAGGGAAGAGCCTGCAGCTTCTGTCCAGTGAGCAGGGGTGGGATTTCTGATTCAGTAATGGCCTTGCCAAGGAGGCCTTCGAACATGGCTCCCCATCACTGCAGGCAAGTGTCCGCTTCAGAGGAGGGTGTAGGGAGGAAGCCACTTCTTCCTGGGACATGGCCTCAGCCTTGCTTCATTTCCTCTGCCTTGGAAAGGGTCCCATCTATTAGATCCCATTTTAAAGCTCATCCCTTTAAATATGGATTCAATTTGGGTTTTACTGTATAGTAAATTCTAAGTCCTTATTAAAAACATGGATGGAATTCATCTGCAAAACGAGATTTGTCTGTCACATGTAGTGTAGTGGCTGGGGCCTGGGGCAGACGGGTCTTTGGGTCCACAGGGAAGAGACGGGCCTGAGCAGAAACTCCAGCGGAGCGTCATCTGCTCCTCGAACCCACACCCTTCCCTTCCTTTCCCCTCCCCCTTGCCTCTCTCATGGGAGAATCAGCATTTTTCTAAACCACATTGCTGTGCATTGTTGGGGTCACTCAGAGGAGCCAGGGAGTGTGGCCGGTTGTCTCTTCTCCAGATGTTTTTGGGGGCTGGGAGCACCTTCGTTCTGGAGCTGAGAGATTAACAGTCTTCTGCCCTGAAGCAGACAGCGTGGGAAGGGAGCGGGGCTGCCGTGCGCCGTGGGGCTGAGCGTGAGCCTGTTGTGGTAGCGCAGCTTGCGCTATCAGAACTCATCCATCTACCCCAGCCCCCACCCTGGGGATGGCATCATGTGACTTCCCATAAATCATCTTCAAATGAGTGTTCTTCCTGCACTCATCCATCATGCCTCTCTCTTGTCTGCTTGTTTTTAAAAGCTGTTAAACTGGAATCCATCACAGGGGAGCATGGCACCCTTGAGGGCCAAGCGCAGGCTGCCCGTATCAGCAGTGGGAATGCTCGAGGGACTTTCTGGAGCACAGGCATGGGTGTTGCTTGGCATCGGGGAGAGGGAGATCATGGTTTCATGGAGTTACACCGGAAGCGGATGGGACGTGGCTCCCAGGCCTGCGTGAACGCATCCTGCTGCAGTGAGCCCGTCCTGGGTGCTCCTGGGTGGAACTGGTGGTGCGCAGCTGGGGAATGTGGCTGGGGTCTCTCCCTCCTGCAGGGGCATCTTATTTCCTTCTTGGATTCAATATTTTAATGTGAAGACTTTAGCTGCAGCCAGTCTTTGGAGGCATGGGTCCTAAACACATCCGTGATTCCTTTTCTGTTGGTAAATGTATTTGGAAAATGTTTAGGAAGGGTGCCAAGCTCAGCCACTGCAGCCCTCATTCTGAGCCTCCTTGATTCTGCTGCCCTCCTTGTTTACCGCCAGAACACACTCTCAGGATGTGCCTGTGAGAAACAGAACACAAGATGAGGCCCAATGCCCCACGCCATTGCTTCTGTTCCTTTCCTCCTCCCCCCGCTTTTTAAAAATTTTTTATCTTTATTGATTGATTGATTGATTGAAATGGAGTCTTGCTGTGTTGTCCAGGCCAGAGTACAGTGGTGTGATCTCTGCTCACTGCAACCTCCATCTCTCAGATTCAAGTGATTCTCCTGCCTCAGCCTCCCAAGTAGCTGGGATTACAGGCATGCACCACCAGCTAATTTTTGTGTTTTTAGTAGAGACGGGGTTTCCCCATGTTGGCCAGGCTGGTCTCAAACTTGTGACCTCAAGTGATCCTCCCGCCTCAGCCTCCCAGGGGTTATAGGGTGAGCCCCTGCGCCCAGCCTTCCTCCTCCTCTTCTTCTTCCTCATCCTTTTGCTATTTCTCCTCTTCCTCCTTTTTCCTCTCCCCTTACTCCTTTCCTTTCTCATTCCTCCTCCTCTTCCTCCTTCTCTGTCTCTGTCTCTCCCTGTCCCTCCCACCCTGTGGAGGAATTGTGTGCATTTCAGGGTTTTCTGCACTCTCTCCCAGGGCCCCAATCCCCCTGCCCCTCACCTCTGCCTGTGCTCTCTATCATCTGGCTCCTTCTCTGTCTCTGTCTCTCCCTGTCCCTCCCATCCTGTGGAGGAATTGTGTGCA